GGAGAGGGGAAAAGACAGAAAGAGATCCTTCCTCCTCTCCAAACAGACTCCTTGGAGACCTGCTGAGTCCATTCTTAGAGCGGGCCCTGAGCGCAGGCTGAGGAGAGCCCCCTGTGCCCGTCTCTTCCCAACGACGCCTTCAGTGACATCACACTGGTAGCCTGAAACCGGCCCTGGTGGGAGTGTTGACACCATGGAAATCGGTCAGTGCTACAGATCAGAGCTTTACTATACCCCCAGCTACTTGACCAGCGTACCCCTGGGCAGACCTTTCTTAATCAAATTCCACCTTGGGAATTAAATCCACAAACACTATGTTACTTTATATGCTCTAATCTACCTTCCGTGGTGTGGGAGAGGAACCCCAAGCCAAGTCAGTAGGAGCTATGATGGAGCGAGTTCTGAAAACCAGGTTTTGCCTCGGGCTGTGCAGACATGCTCAGCCTTCATGTCCTCTGAAAAGGGATTGAGGCAGTCTATGGGGGAGTTTCGTGGATGTTGTCTCCACTGAAATGTCACAGCAACAGGACTGTAAAATGTGGGGTTGCAGGTGCTGCAGGATCGCAATTAGCCTATCTTTCCCTCTGCAGCAGCCGGTGTGTGTGCTGCTCTGCGTGTAATTAACCAGGTGCCGCCCTGCTGACGGGCGCTTTGTTCCCCCTGCAGGACCGCGCACGCCAGAGCGAAAGCTGACGCCGCGGACCAGGCTGCACTGGCTGCCCGCCAGGAGAGCGACATCGCGAGAGCCGTGGCCAGGGAGCTGTCCCCGGACTTCTACCAACCAGGTAAGACCCTTGTCCTGTGATGCAAGAGGTGCGAGCGTGGCGCCTGGTTTCCTTTTCTGGTTCTTTTCTGTTTCACTGAAAGGTGCGTGCTTCATGAACCCCAGAAATAACTAGAAAATAAGCAGGAGCAGAGAGGGATAAATAATACCTGAAGTCTGCATCAGGAGGACTCACGGTGTTATATCAATGGAGGCTCGGGTTCTTATGAACAATCGCTCTTATAAATTCTGCATGTTAGCGCAGGAGATTCAGCCTCGTCCCCAGTGCATCTCCTGTTCAGCCTCCCCTCCTCAGCAACAAACTGTGAGCTGATGGCAGGAAAGGCGACAGGGTCTGAAAGAAGTATCTGGATTCTAAGAAAGTGTGTAATGTTCAGTGACCAGTTGC